CTCGTGTGTGCTTGTGCGTTTTTTTTAGTAACTTAATTGACTCAGGTCTATTTCCATCTGTGTTTGAAACCATTCACATCCAGGGAACCATCTCCCCCAAGACAGTCGTTCCAGACTAGCAAATCCTAGCCCCCTCTAGACTATCCGAGGAACGCTTGAGTAGCCTGATGGGAAATGCTGCTCAGATGTGGAATGCAAAGGGACATAAATCTATTTCTGTTATCTGCAGTTAGCACCCAAAGCTGGATCCTTAAATGAAAGAGATACAGCTTCAAATCCCTCCTTTCCCCGCCTCATTAGCAAATTGCATCTCATCCTCAAAGGGAAGGCCTCAACGCCTATCCTTCCTGGCAGAAGCGCGTTTTGGTATATAATCAGATTCCGTTTGGTCATCATCCCGGTAGCTTTTCTTAGCAGCATTCCTTGAATCCTTGAAACCTGAGAGAGATAGCATCATGAGCAGAGTGTTCTCAAACTTTTAGACTGCCAGCATTCACCCACTGATTGACAGCAGATAAATAGACTCATGTGCCCCCGGCTGCTTCTGAATCATCTGGCTCGGCCATTGTCAGAGATGGATGGTCTCTTTTGTCTGATCAGATAGGGTCACTCATCTGTTCCACAAGATGACCTTGGCCGGGTCTTGTCTCTCAGGCCAGGATGCAAATTAGCCAACGAAGCAACCAATAACTTGTGAGAATAAGAGGATGTCGGGGATCCAGACTTAAGGTAGCTTAATTACCGGAACCAGCCGAAAGTAACATAAAAGAGCGAATGCGAAAAGATCTGGAGAACCGCCAGTCGTGAATGAGACAGCCAACCATACGGTCTGGCAGAGAAATAATTGGAGGAGCCAATAGGCTTGCTGTAGAATTCTCATATGCAAATGGAGGGGATCATAAGTTAGGAAGGATCGGTTGAGGCGGGGCTTCCTGGCATACGATGCGGCAACCTTTGGCGTTGAAGGTGGCTTTCCTGGGTTTTACAAGACAGTGCTGGGATGTAGAATAAAGCAAATAAAGAATAAAATAAAACTAATAAGGCAAACAGAAAATGAAAGGCATTTATCATATAGCAATATCTAGCTACTGCCCGTAGCTGTAACTTTCAAGGTTCCTTCTCAGTTATTTCCCCCAAAGGACCCGTAACGATTCTAATGTTTTTTGCCAAGCACTGGTGGACAAGGAGAAAATGCCGATTAATAGAAAATGTGGCTATCACCTAGGCCAGGGGTAGGCAACCTTGGCTCTTTTCTGACTCGTGGACTTCAACTCCCAGAATTCCTCAGCCAGCACAGCTCAGCTTGGAAACCTCTCCCTTTCCCCTCAGCATGGCTGGCTCAGGAATTCTGGGAGTTGAAGTCCATGAGTCGTAAAAGAGCCAAAGTTGCCTACCCCTGACATAGGATGATTTTTACTTTTACTTTTATTTGGGGAGGGGTCAGCCTCAGCCTATATATTCTTGATGGGAGAGTAAACACAGGTGGTCCTCAACTTAAGGGCACAAATGAGTCCAAAATTTCTGTTGCTAAGCAAGACATTTGCTAAGCATTTTATGCGCTTTCTTGCCATAGTTGTTAAGTGAATCACTGCAGTTGTTCAATTAGTAACAGGGTTACTAACCAGTCAATCTGGTTTCCCTGTGGTCTTTGCATGTGAGAAGATCACAAAAGGTGATCATGTGACCCAAGACGCTGCAACTGAAATAAATACAAGTCAGTTGCCAGGCGTCTGCATTTTGATCACGTGACCATGGGGATGCTGCAATGGTTATAAAGTGTGAAAAATTATCATGTCGCTTTTTTTTCAGTACCGTTGTAACTTACAAACTGTTGTAAGTCGAGGATTACCCGTAGGTGCTGTTTAAATGATGCTGGAAAAGTCACCCCATTTGTGGTCTGAATAACCCTTTTCACCCCCTTTCTTCCTCCGTTCTACATTGTATTTGGAGGGTGACAGGCTACGCTGCTGGCTGCCACTCTATAAAATCCAGAGGGCTGTGAATGTCCACCTCTGGTAGCTGTACTTGGAAACGAACCCTCCAAAGTGAATTTCTTCAACTTAGCAGCTTTATGATGTTTCAGGATTATACGTTTTAGAATTCCTAGACAGAGTTCCGAATATTGTGATCCCAGCAGGTGGGCCTATCGCATAAAAAACAAATGGGACTTCAATCATCTCATTGTGGCACGACCTTGACCCCCTCAACATATCTGTTATAGTGAAATATATCTAATATGATTATTCTCTAGTCACAGCTATACGGTAATATTTCTCTCATTTTAGACCTGGGGTGTCAAACTCAATTTCATTGAGGGCCGCATCGGCATTGCGGTTGCCCTCAGGGGGCCGGGTGGGTGTGGTCAGGGTGGGTGTGGCCTCCTGGGTGGGCGTGGATAGAGTGGGTGTGGCCTCCTGGGTGGGCATGGCCAGCTGTACATTGTTCACATCAAGGTGCCTGTGGGAGCCTGGGCAGGAGTGGGACAGATCTGAGGGTCTCTGGCAGAAGGGGGTGGGACCGGGGCAAGCTCCAAGGCATGGTTCATTTCTTCATTCCTCACAAATGGTGACACCTCCCCAGCATGCACCCAGAGGGCGGGGCCAACACAGCAGGGACTAGTTCCTCACTGTTTCTAGACGGCCTTGTGGAACTAAGACTGAACGCGTTTCAGCATAGATGGCCACCACAAAATTGTACATTGGTTCCCGGCCGGCCTAGGCCAAGACCCAGGCAGTGGGGGCCGTTCCCTCACTGTTTCCAGGATGGCTTCGCGGGCCACATGAAACCATTTTGTGGGCTGCATCCGGCCCCCGGGCCTTGTGTTTGGCATGTCTTTTTTAGACTCATTAAAATGTCAGTTAGTGACCTTTTGAGAACTCTAGGTATAGGGAAACATTTGGCTTTTGGCCTTCATTTGCACACTTTTACTTCCCAAATCTGGCATTGGATTTGTTATAGCTATGAATTCAGTCCCAGGCTGGAAAAATGGAGGCAGCCAGGAGAACTCTAAGTGGTTTTTCCCCAACCAATTCCTAGAAGAGAAATGAAGCTTTGAAGGTTAGAACAAAGGAAAGGCAGAAGTGTGGACTCAATGTGTTTTCCTTATTAGAGAAGTAAGGAAGGAGTTGAGATACAAACTTTGTGCTCCTTGTAGCAGGAAGGCCTCTATGAACAGATCTGCTAATTCTCCCTCTTAAGGCTTCAGAGGATGCTTAATTTTCTAGAACATAAATTGTCAGGGATTAAGCCTACCTAGTGGTGTATGTGTGTATGGTGTATGTGTGTATGGTGTGTGTGTGTGTGTGTGTGTGTGTGTGTGTGTGTAGGTAATGGTGGATTTAATGTTTAAGCTCAAATATCTAAAGTTTTGCATATGCTCAGTTACAGACTTGTACTGATAGTTGCAGTAAGAGAAGAGCAGGCAGAGCTGGGGAAGGTGGAATTAAACGTGTCATCAGTTTGGAGTTGTTGCATTCCCACAAGTTCAACCCTCCCCAAATTCCATTGACACTTATCTGGTACCAATTTGGCGCTGAACTTGTTGTCAACCAGATTCTTGAGTAAATATTCTATGCTGCAACCTAACCAATGGTCCTGATTCTTTCATCTGACAATTACTGCATTTACTCTTGTTACGGCAATTGACTGGCTGCTTTGGAAACCCAAGGCAGGGTCAAACTTTGTGAGGACCTGGATGGGAGACCACTAGCAGATTTCAGGGATACAGGCTAGACTGGGGAATTCAGGAGCATTCTCTAAGAAAGCAATAGCCAACTTCTTCAGCACCGCGCTCTCCAATTTGAGCTCAACATGACGGAGAGTTTATTATGCTTAATCTTGGGCTGCATGTTGTCATTAAAAGGAGGCCATAAATAAGCTGTGACTAATATGAAACCAAAACATAAAATAATAACAACCTCTCCTCCTTGCTTTTTGGATGTTTTAGTATGAATGAATTTCTACCCTGTTTTGTAAATATGACTGGCTGCCTCCCGAGCCTCTATCTTTCTCATTGCAAAGTTTGTCTGGAAATATATTTTTATTGGATATATAGTACATTCCCATCTGCCTGTGTAGTTGAATGTGTTTTGATTTCCTGGCTGTTTTCCTAGGTTTCCCGCTGCCAATCATATTAATGCATCCAACTGGAGTCTGGATTGTCTTGGATTTCTGCTGTTAAAATGGAGCAGATTTCCTGTTACAAGCTTTTGTTAAGAACCATGAAAAATGCTTGTTTTCAGAAATTAGGTCTTTCAGTTGGGTGCTTTAACTATATGGGGGCAACAGCTAATTATAATAATATTTTCAGGTCACAAACACTTCAGTGTCATTTCACATGATGTGTGGGCACTAACATTTTCTTGAAAGAAATTTTGAAAAATAAAAGGCACCAAATTTCATGAGATTTATGCAGCAGTGGAAAAAAATCTCACAAGAACTCTTTTATCTCACAATATTTCTTCTTGCACGGCATCATTCATTATATTGCTTTTGGGTTTTTTTTGGGGGGGGGGTGCCATTCTTTTTGCATATACAAAGAATCATAAAGTCACCCTGAAGATGTTGCTAAAGTTAGAGAAATCAGCAGAGTCTAGAAGTGGTGTCTATGTGTGCAGTGAAGATTTGAAATACAGTAAAGAAAAGGAAAGCAGAAAATTGGAAATAGTAGCCACACATTCTTCACACATAACAGCACTCAGATTTAATTTCTTTATGATTCCTTGCAGGGAAAATAGAGAAAACACCTGAAACCTGCCAATTGTGTAATTCTAATTTGATCCAAAGGTTTAAATATTCTTCCTTCCTCCATGTTTCTGTTTAGAAAAATGGGTTTTTTTATTTATTATTCCCAAGAAGTGGCATTTGATTTCCTAACATTTATACTACCTCTATATTTACACTATTTCTGTTTGAAACAGGCAAGGGAGCGAGGGTCAGTGTTGTTTTAAAGATAGAGCCCAGTAACGATCTAATCTGTATCAATTTTGTTTCTTGGATAGGCCAAAGACAGTGACGATGAGGAAGAGGTGGTACATGTGGATCGAGACCATTTCATGGATGAATTCTTTGAGCAGGTAAGATGAGAGATAACCTTGAAGGTTTTTGCAAAAAAGATAAGGAACTCAGATTGTAAGGACTGAATCAAGATAGTCACATTGGGCATTGCAATTCGTACGTACTTTTATTTGCCAGAAATGTCTTTTTTCTAACAATAATTAATATTTAAGAAAATACTAATAAAATATCTACAGACCCCTCATATCCTGGACCTATTCTATTTCAACTACTCCCTGCCCCTCCCGGATGCCACTATAGAGCACTGCATGCCAAAACAACCAGACATAAAGATAGGTTTTTCCCCCTCATGCTATCCTTTTGCTGAACACTTAATTCCCACAGCATTGTCTCATTTCTCATTTTTTTTCAATCTTCTCATCTTTCCTACTATCTTCTCCTATTGGTTTCTTATGATTTATCCGTTGTTGTTTGTAACTTATGATTAATGATTGTAACTATGATTTATGATCTATGAATTATTACTTGCCATTTATATGTACACTGTGAGCTTATGCACCGGAGACAAATTCCTTGTATGTCTGATCACGTTTGGCCAATAGAGAATTCTGTTCTATAAAGCAGTGGTTCTCAACCTTCCTAATGCCGCGACCCTTTAATACAATTCCTCATGTTGTGGTGACCCCCAACCCTAAGGGCTCTCCAAGCACGCATCGACGCCGCCCACTCACCCACCGCGCCCAGGGCTCAGCGTGCCTCACCTGTCCTCGCCTCACTTCCCAAGATTGCTGGCCTGCCCGGCTCCAGCTGGCCAGGGAGGAGGGGCAGGAAGGCCGCTCCGCCCAGCCTGGTTGGAGAAGCGCCCAGGCGGGGGAGAGGGAGAGAGAGAGAGAGAGCCAAGAGGGCAACAGCGCCGGCAGAGCTTAGTTCAGCCTTCTCCATGGAAAGGGCCGCGAAGCAGTGCAGCCTCCCTTAGGAGATGCTTGACGGAAACGAATCCGGCGCTGCAACGGCCCCCAGCTCGAAGCCATGTGGAGACGGATGCGGAGCGGTGTCTTGGTTCCTAAGACCATCGGAAATATGTGTTTTCCGATGGTCTTAGGTGACCCCTGTGAAAGGGTTGTTCGACCCCCAAAGGGATTGCGACCCACAGGTTGAGAACCGCTGCTATAAAAAAATCTATTTCAGGAGAATGCCTGCCTGCCTGCCTGCCTGTCTGCCTGCCTGCCTGCCTGCCTGCCTGCCTGCCTGCCTGCCTGCCTGCCTGCCTGCCTGCCTATCTATCTATCTATCTATCTATCTATCTATCTATCTATCTATCTATCTATCTATCTTCTTTCTTTTATAATTACTAGTTCACTGTTCATTCAGTCTTATCAAAGGAAAAAGTTAATTCATTTTAGAGTCACAAATTTATTTTAGATTCATATCTCAAGAAAGCAAAAGGCAAAAATCAAACATTTGATCTGATTTGGATTTTACGACTTAGTAGATGGAACTTCTCTGTTCAGAAGCAGGTTTCTTTTGAACATAGATGAAGATAGGCTGTTCTGCAGGCGTTTTGACTAGTAGCCAAACAAAGGCTACTAGCTGGCCACTCTTAACAGATAAAATTCCAGGCTACCAAGATTTTAGTTGAATATTACAGATCTCTTTTGATCTTCCCAGGCTGTTATTTATCATTTATTTGGTTTGCATCAGAGACTGGCGTGGCTATGAAGGCCTGCCTCAGACATTAGGTCCAATTATGGCTTCTGAAATGAAACCTGGGTTTGGTCATATATTTTTCAACTTATCTGCATAAAGGTAGCCCTCAACGTATGACCAGTCACTTAATGACCAGTCGAAGTTACAACACACATCCCCAGAGCTACTTATGACCTGTTTTGAGGTTACGATTGCTGTACTTTTTCCCCAGTCATATGATCCTGTTTTGGGCACTTGGAAACTGCCTCACCTTTGAAGAGATTTGTAGCATCTCGTGGTCATATAACCATGATTTGTAATGTTTTTTGACAGTTTCCAGTATTTATTTCCAGTTGCTGGCAAAAAATACCCTTTGGGGAAAATCCATTTACTTAAGGACCATGCCATTTGTTTACCAGCCACCACAAAAAGGTCAAAAACTGTCAAGCCTCGACTTACGACCATAACAACTTACCGCCGTAATTCCGGACTCACAAGGTACAGAAACTGGCCTTGTGAGAAGTGGAAACCACAGCTGTCAGAATCCATAACTTTTGACTCTGGAGACCAAATTCTGTATTTGTAGCTTGTGACAGCAAGTGAAATAAATATTATCCTGCTAACTGGGTGCTGGTAGGGCAATGCATTGCAGAGAGCTGGCATGTCCTAATCCATATTTGATTCAATTTCCAAAAGAACCCTCGAAAGCATGAAGTCTCCCTGATCCTGGCAGCAGACCACTCTCCTTCTTGGACTGAGAAGAGGATGCCGCTGGAAGAGTTTTTCTTTATTATCTCAGGATTAGTTCAATCTTCAGACTGGAACTGGACTACAAAGCTAGGAGATAACATTTTTTAGGATGTTTGTTGGATGGAAGCAAGCTGGGTCCTTAAATCCAGACCAACACTGGATTTTTTTTTTTAATTAAAAAAACTCCCATATTGATAGAGGCTCAATTTTAAAGATGGGGAAATAATAGGGGATTATAGGTGAGAGAACCTGAATTTTGCCTGCAGCCCTTTCATTTCCCAAGGCACCTTTTCCTCGCCCTCATTAAGCCATCTTCAAATGGCAGGCATTTAATATGCAAGAGTATCTTTTAAAGTTACTGTGCAGCTTCTATAATGCACAGGTGCTGGATGTGGAGAAATGCAGGGTTAGGAATTGTGAAATTGGTGTTTGCATGTCTGGTCCTGTTCCCAAAGGACATCAGTGATTACAGTCTGGAGTCTTGCAGTCTGGAGAAATGTTGCTCTTTGAAATTACATCATAGGAGCAGCGGATTGATGACCTGGATTTAGGCAAACAGGCCTCTCAGTCTCATACGTTGCTCGTGTTAGGCTAACGTGTCAGCACTATAGTATGTGTCATGGGCAACATGGAAGGAAGCCCCTGTCGGTGCTGATGTGATGATTCAGTTGAAAGGTATTGAGAGTGCTGTGCGGTGTATGAGCCAAGGCTGAATGTTTCAGGACCTTGGACAGGGTTTCCTAGAATCAGCTCACAAACATGGTTCAAGTCCCTTTGCCTCACACCACCCTCTAGTGATGAGTTAAGGATATTGTCGCCCTCTAACAGAACAAACAATTTTGAGTTTTTCAATAATTCAGAGGTCCCAAAGATGCTTTTTCAAAAGGCGACTGGACTTTGTTTTTCTTTGAAGAAGTTTCACTTCTCATCCAAGAAGCCTCTTCAGTTCTGACTGAATGCTGAGGATGGAAGGATATATATTCCTTGCAGTAAATCCTTCCATCCTCCACCATTCAGTCAGAACTGAAGAAGCTTTTTGGATGAGAAGCAAAACGTCTTCAAGGAAAACAAAGTCCAGTTACCTTTTGAAAAAGCATCTCTGAAACAACCACGACCTGGATGACTGAGAATATCCATAGACCAGTGGTTCTCAACCTGTGGGTCGGGACCTCATTTGGGGTCGAACGACCATTTCACGGGGGTCGCCAAACAACACAGTCCGCCATTTTTTCCCCCTTTTCCTTAGCTGTGCTACTCCCTTTTATTCTATTGGCTTTTGAAAGCCAATAGAATAGACTCTCTTGAATAGTGTCTAATTCTATTGGCTTTCAAAAGCCAATAGGAATTGTCCAGGCTGACTCTGCCCTGCTGAGCCCGCCAAAAGTCCCATTCTGCAAACGGTGCTGCACCAGTTGAGTAGTCCTCGACTTAAGACCGGTTGAGTAGTCCTCGACTTACGACCGGTTGGGGGGTCACGGCATTAAAAAGGTTGAGAACCACTGCCATAGACAATAATTTGAAGGGAATCTGTAAACATGACCAACAGGTGTCTATGGAGATGCTCAATCATCCAGGTCATGGTTGTTCCAAAGATGCTTTTTCCAAAAGGCAGTTGGACTTTCTTGGGGTTGGGTTTTTTTTTTTTTTTTTTTTTTTTGCTTTGAAAACATTTTGCTTCTCATCCAAGAAGCTTCTGAACTGAAGAAGCTTCTTGGATGAGAAGCGAAACATTTTCAAAGGGAATAAAAAACCCCATGAAAGTCCAACTGCCTTTTGGAAAAAAACACCTTTGGGTTTACACCTTCTAGTTTTGTTTCTGAGTTTCTTCAAGTACGAAGAGAATTGTATGGATGGAAGGACGGATTGGTGTAAATGGGAAGGGGGAGGTTGATAATGGGGATGGATCCTTCGCACCAGAATATTACTTGCAAGGGAATGCAACCTTCACAATAACCCCCCCCCCAAATTCAACGGTTCCCTTTCTTTCCAAATGGTATAGAAAGAAAAATACAGGTAATCCTCGACTTTCACCCCACAACTGAGCCCAAAATTGATGTTGCTAAGCGAGACATTTGTTAAGTGAATTTTGCCCCCTTTGACGACCTTTCTTGACATACTTCTTAAGTGAATCACTGCAGTTGTTAAGTTAATAACGCGATTATTAAGTGAATCTGGCTTCCCCATTGACTTTGCTTGTCAGAGAGTCACAAAAAGGGATCGCATGATCCCCGGGACACTGCAACCGTCATAAATACGAGTCAGTTGCCAAGCATCCAAATTTCGATCACATGACCATGGGGATGCCGCAACGGTCGTAAGAGTGAAAAACAGTCATAACTCATTTTTTGCAATGGTGTTGTAACTTGGAACGGGTCACTAAACGAACTGTTGTGAGTCAAAGACTACCTGTACTTTGCAAAAACCCAATAGTTTATTCATATGGTGTCCACAGGGATGCTCAACAACGCAACCCTCTCTTGGAAAAGTTTTCCTTTTTTTAGTCAGATATTGATTTGAAGAATAGAAAACACTATTCCCCCCCCCCCCATCTTGCTAGTTTTAAGACCTGAGGGGGCTACAGATCAGAGTCCCCTATTGAACTGGAGCTCACATCTTTGGGGCATACACAGTGAGCATCTTTCACCAATAAACCTTCCTCCCAGTATGTATTTATGATGACACTGAGAATAAGGACCATGTCCTATAATATCTTCCTTCCTCCCCTGGATGTCGCCTTTTGATGACATCAGCAGTCAGCTTGCTTCAGCCTTCCTGCTTTTGGTTTCTCCAGGGTCCTGCTGCCCACTGCTCTTCTGAAGCAAGCACGGGGGGGGGGGTTTCTTATCCCAAGGCAGATGGCTTGCTCAGGTTAAGAAGAGCTCCTTAGTAAAAGGGCCTTTGCATTCCCAGCATGCACCGGGGGAATTATACTCTCCTTCATTTTCATCTCTTCCACTAGGCCAGGGGTAGGCAACCTTGGCTCTTTTATGACTCGTGGACTTCAATTCCCAGAATTCCTGAGCTAGCTGTGCTGAGGGTTTCCAAGCTGAGCCAAGCTGGCTCAGGAATTCTGGGAGTTGAAGTCCACGAGTCATAAAAGAGCCAAGGTTGCCTACCCCTGCACTAGGCCAAGGAAGGGATTTTGTGTGTGTGTGTGTGTGTGTGTCTGTGTGTAAATCTGCAGATGAGTCAAACAGCCTCCATAACTACAGATAGTCCTCTACTTATGACCACAACTGAGCCTCCAATTGCTATTGCTAAGCAAAACAGTTGTTAAGTGAATTTTTCCTTATTTTACAACCTTTCTTGCTATAGTTTGTTAATGAATCACTGCAGTTGTGAAGTTAGTAACACAGTTGTAAAGCGAATCTGGCTTCCTCATGTCAGGAGGTCACAAAACGGGATCATGTGACCCAGGGATACTGCAACCGTTGAAAATACATGCCAGTTGCCAAGTGTCTGAATTTGGATCAACGTGACCACTCTGCAACGGTCGTAAGTGTGAAAAATGGCCATAAGTCGCTTTTTTTCAGTGCCATTGTAACTTCAAACAGTCACTAAATGAACTGTTGTAAATCGAGGACTGCCTTTGTAGTTTCTTTGTCTGGGCTTTGGAATGTGGTCTGTGGGTAAAAAAAATGATCTCTGAGCAACTTATTTTAAATAATTGCCTATAAAAGAAATATCTCCCTATTGTGTTTCCTGCATGACTGCTTATGAGCAGTGAAGCAGCTCTTTTTGCAATTTAATCCTTTCTTACCTATCGGAGGAGCTTATGAAATCTTGTTCTTGGTGAGCTATCATCTGAAGGAACCAGGGAGATAACTTACAATAGTGGGCCGTGCTGCAGAGGAAGGGGGTCAATAGTTTACCCCAACCTAACACCTTTTAAAGATACCAGGACAGCAGTTTTATTTATTTATTTATTTATTTATTTATTTATTTATGAGACTTATATACCGCTTTAAGTGCAAGCACTCTCTATGCGGTGTACATCAGTAAGCAATGTATATATATATTTACATTGCCCCCAACAATCTGGGTCCTCATTTTACCTACCCCGGAAGGATGGAAGGCTGAGTCAACCTTGAGCCGGTGAGATTTGAACCGCTGACCTGCTGAACACAGTCAGCTAAAGTGGCCTGCAGTACTGCACTCTAACTGCTGCGCCACCTCGGCTCTTTAAGTTTTTCAAATTCCTAGCCAACACGGCTCACTCAGGCTTGAGAAGGTTGCAGTAAAGAGTGCCAATGATAGCTCCAATTGAGTGGACTGGGCCAGGGGTAAGCAACCTTGGCTCTTTTATGACTCATGGACTTCAACTGGCTCAGGAATTCTGGGAGTTGAAGTCCACGAGTCATAAAAGAGCCAAAGTTGCCTACCCCTGGACTGGGCCTCTCTTAGTCTTTTCATTTCCTACTCTGCAGTCAGCTTCAAGGATCTCTTCTAGCCTTGGATGACTCACTGGCTAGATCAGCGGTTCTCAACCTGTGGGTCGCGACCCCATTTGGGGTCGAACGACCATTTCACGGGGGTCGCCAAACAACGCGATCCGCCATTTTTTTGTCAGCCGGCGCAGGGGGCGGCGCCATGCATGCACGCCACGCAGGGGGCGGTGCATGGGGGCGGCGGCGCGCAGGGGGCGGCGCATGGGGCAGCACCACGCATGCGTGCTGCGCAGGGGGTGGCGCCGCACATGTGCGCCACCTGCTTATGACCGGGGTCGCCGTATAAAAAGGTTGAGAACCACTGGGCTAGATTCAGACCCTAATTTATGCCATAATGTACAGGTAATCCTCAAGTTACAGTCATTCCTTTTGTAATTGTTGAACGTTACAGGAGCACTGAAAAAAAAGTGACTTATGACAGGCCTTTGTACATATGGCGTTTATAGCATCCCCATGGTCACGTGATCAAAATTCGGGTGTTTGGCAACCAACATGTGTTTACAATGCTTGCAGCATCCCGGGGTCATGGAATGGCCATTTGTGACCTTCCCAGTTGGCTTCTGATAAGCAAAGTCAGTGGTGAAAGCAGACTTTGCTTAACAACCGCGTTGAGTCACTTAAATGCAGTGATTGGCTTACCAACTGTGGCAAAAAAAAGGTTCTAAAATTGGGCATGATTCACTTAACCACTGCCTTGTTTCCCTATAGAATTTCTTCCGGTCCCACAATTGTGGCCTTAAGTCAAGGACCACCTGTGGTCTGTTCAGTTTTATCTTAACAGTATTTTGCAAGTGCGGCTGTCGTGACTCTCATCTTATTATTTCTGTCTTTGGCTCCTGTGTGAACCCAAGCAAATGTTTATTGAACAAGGCACTGTGGAATGTAATGTGTGAACCTAGGCTCTGATTCTTCACAACCCCAAGGGAACTGGTCACTTAGGGACAGCGACAACTCTGAAAACCTCAGCCTATTTCCTAATTCCTGAGGTTTAAAGCAAGCCATATGAGTGAGAATTGATGCACGCCTCTGTGTTTCTTGTCCAGGTAGAGGAAATTCGTGGCTGCATCGAGAAGCTCTCAGAGGACGTGGAGCTGGTGAAGAAACAGCACAGCGCCATCTTGGCTGCCCCCAACCCAGATGAGAGTGAGTCAAAACATAGACCCGGCCTCTTTAGCGGCCCTTGCGTATGCATCCTCAGCCACTCATACATACACACTGGAGATGCCCAGTGCTCTCTCATCAGATCCTGTGGGAGGATGGAGGTAGGCACTGCATGTCAATTCAACCATCTCTCTAACCTGCTGGAAAAGTGGCATCAAAAGACAACTGGTGGGGTTAGAGATGTTCGGAACAAAGGCAGCAGGTCAGGTGAGACATTATGGAGGGGTATCCACATCATGCTGAATATGAGGGGGGGGAAAAGATTTTCCTCCTCTCCTCACAAGGCTAGCAATTGTGTCACTCACTGAAGCTTCAGGTTGGAGATTTAGAATCAGTAAAAAGGGCAGACCAATGTATAATAACATATACAAGTAGTCCTCAGTTAACAACCATGCATTCAGCAATCATTCATAGTTAGACTAGCACTGAAGAAGTGGTAGGTATGGCTGGTCCTCAAAGTTGCAGCTGTCTTAGCACCCCAGCAGTCATACGATCATGATCTGGATGCTTGGCACCCAGCTCACACTTATGACGGTTGCCGAGTGCCATGGTCACGTGATCAATATTTGTGATCTTCTTTGCCAGCTTCCTGGCATAGGGGAAGCCAGCAGGAAGATTGCAAGTCGCTCTGGTAAGTCTCCCCCGCCAGGCAGAAGTCACTCCAAGCCTTGACCTCCTTGCACACCCCTGTGCTCTCCCACCACTTGGAAGCAGCAACCTATCTGCCTGTCGGTCTCCTTGTGAGTTGCCTGGAACTTGCGTCTTCCTGCCAACTTTCTCATTGACTTTTGGTTGTTGGAATCTGGAACAAAGTTGCTTAAAAGCTTGTAAGCCTTACTTACCAAGCAGTGGGGATTGCCAGCATTGCTGTTACATGGTGATATAGTCACTTGATGTTGGACATTATGATTGCATCACTTAGCAGTGGAAATTCTGGCCCCAATTACCATCATTAGCCAAGAACTACCTATGCTTAAACTGGGTTTCTCTGCCATCAGGTATAGCGATGGCCACCAATTTAGGTGCTTTTAAAAAGAGACTATTTTAGAGGGTACTTGTTTTGATGGCTGTTTACTACCTCCAGCATCACCGGCCGCATATCTTAAATCCAGGTTTTTGGGATGTGTCAAGGAAAGAATTGAATGCACCTGATTGACCACTGTGGGACACGGAATGCTGGATTAAATGTCTTCTTGACCTGACTCAGCATAGTTTTCTTTGGTTTTTAAGCTTCAGCATCCTTTTATTGTTATTCATCTTGCAGAAACCAAGCAGGAATTGGAGGACCTCACAGCCGACATCAAGAAGACGGCCAACAAGGTGCGCTCCAAGTTAAAAGGTAAGGGCTGAAGCTGCAGCTTTATGTCTTGGTTTTTTTTGGGGGGGGGGTTAGCATAAAATGTATCTTTATTGGGGTTTCAATGGAGTGCATCACTTAACAGCATCGAGGTGATTCTTAAAATTGCCTTTTAAAATAAGCCACTTTTAGTCCTATCTTGAATTGTTGCAAAGAAAACTACCTGGATCTGTTAGTAAAGTCACAAGGAGTTGAATTCAACCTTCTTGTACTTACCCACCTGTGCTCCATAGGGCTTCGCTGTGGCACCTGCATACCTGCCCACCTTTCATAGCATCTGCCCACAGCACAATATACCCATCTGCACACCACAGCACCTGCCTGTGGCACCTGCTGCAGCCACTCACCCACCTGTGCCCCCCATAGCATCTGCCTGCAGCATCTACACACCTGCCCAGAGCACCTGCCCATATCACCTGCATGCTCATCTGTAGTTCTCTGCCAGCTTGCTTTCCTGGGACACCTATCTCTTTCCAAGTCATGGTCCCAGAAAGTTCTTGGTTAATGACTTATGCAGTCCTGGGGTTATGACAGCAATTATGACTGTTGGGATTGCTGTCGCTAAGTGAAGTGGGCATGTGATGTGTTTATGACCGCATCACTTAGCAATGGAAATTCCAGTCCCAACTGCCATTGTAACCAAAGTACTTCCTGTACACATTTCACTTTCTCCCACACACATACTTGTCCAGTTAATTAATTTGTTAGGTTTGTATATTGCTTTTCCTCTAAAAATTCAGGATAAAAATATGTCATATTCCCTCCTCTGATTTTTATTTCCACAATAATTGTGGAAAGTTGTTCTGAAAGGTGATCTGGCCCTAAATCAACGCAAAGCTTAGTTTAGATTTAATGTGGATTTTTGTGGCCGAAGTCCATCATCTTTCATCCAGGACATAAAATAGTTTGCAAAGTTTCAGTTATATTATCACAGCAAAGGATGATTAATCCTCAGGGAATGTTGGCGAAGAAGAGGCAGAGGTGGAGTCAAGAGAGGACGCAGCCTAGAATCCTTACATATCCACAAACACTTCAAGTCCAGCCCCCCCCCCCCGAATTCCATTGATTCTTATTTAATGCAAATTTAGTACTGACCGTTAGTTGATTGGATTCTTGTATATAGACTTGTGCAATAAATCTTCTTAACTGGAACTTAATTATGGTTCTGATTCTTTGTGCTTGCCTTGATCTAGAAACTTTCATGGCTCTCTTCATGAAGGGATCAGATAGGTGGAAACACTCTAAACTGCAGGAGAATGCCTTAGTGTGCATAGTAAGAAGATGACCTTGACAGAGATATGCAGACTCCATTACCTAGGCCAGGGCTTTTCAACAGTGGCACGGGTACCACCTGTGGTACATTGGCACCTGGCAGGTGGTACGCGACCATCCTAGAAAAGTGGTAGCAGGGGAGGGGAATGAGCTGAACCTGTGGCGGCACCGGCCAAGCCTGAGCGAGAGATGGCTGGAGCTGCAGGGCTGTCAGGGCTCAGCGGAAGCGCCAGGATCAGGGCCGCTTTCCAGCTGATCGATGCTTCTTCGGGGCTGTCACAGCTCAGTGGAAATGCCAGGATCAGCGCCAGGCTCCACCTGGAGCTCGGCGCTGATCCTGGTGCTTCTTCTGAGCCCTGAAGAAGCACCAATCAGCTGGAAAGCAGCACCGATCCTGGCACTTCTGCTGAACCCAGAAGAAGCGCCGATCAGCTGGAATGTTGCAGCATCTCCAGGGTCTTGTGATTTACATTCAGATGCTTGACAACTGATTCATATTTATGACGGTCACAGTGTCCCAGGGTCATGTGAAGTGACCAAAACCTGCTGCAACCACCCAGCAGACGGGGGGGAATAAAAACCAAACACCCCCCACCCCACCCCCGCTGCCAATCCTCAACAGAAATGCTCAGAACAATGAAAACGTTGGACAGGAGGAAGAGTGCCGCCAGGCGGGCAGGCAGGTGTCTTGCTCGGCTGTGGCTTGGGGGGCACTTTTTTCAGTGCCATTGTAACTTTAACAGTCACTAAACGAACCGTTGTAAGTCAAGGACTACCTGTACTTTATCACTCTTTTCCTTTTTTTGGGGTCATCAAATTTTTGATACCTTGCTAGGCGACTGGTGGTACTCGGATGTTGCCATATCCTAAAAGTAGTACAATGGTTGAAAAGGTTGAAAAGCCCTGACCTAGGAAAAACAGGCTAAAGTTTTTTAGGTTTAGAACATCCAGATAACACTGAGAAGTAACTCAGACAACACACTTCCCTAATTCAATAAACTATAAAAAGGAGGTGCAATACAATCAGACTTGTTATTCTGTTATTCTAGCCCAGGAGTAGGCAACCTTGGCTTTTTTACGACTTGTGGACTTCAACTCCCAGAATTCCTGAGCCAGCCATGCTGAGGAGAAAGGGAGAGTTTCCAAGTAGAGCCATGCTGGCTCAGGAATTCTGGGAGTTGAAGTCCACGAGTCATAAAAGAGTCAAGGTTGCCTACCCCTGTTCTAGCCAATCTCAATAAAAATAGTTACAGACATCCTAGGGAGTTGATTTCATGGTCTACTACTAGGTGGAAAAGACCTAGAGAGACAGGGGAAAGAGATGCTGTCCAGGGAGTGTTCAGATAAGAGACAGCTTAGCCTGCAGCTGCAAAAGAAGTAGGGCAAAAGAAGAAACCTTCCCTAGTTTTTCAGGCGGTAAAGGAGACTATGGGAGAATTATACTTTCAGATTTGCTAGGTTGATGTCAATCTTATCAGATAGACCAGACAGAAAGCAACCAAATAAACTAAGTTTACTATATTGTAAAGCTTCATTGACAAAATCTGTCCATTTTTCAGCTACGACCTACAGTATGTTGCCTCTTATCTGACTATTCTCTAAGTAGCATCTTTTCTCACTGTTTCACAAGGTCTTTCGCAATTACTATTGCAGCCCCTGTCTACTAGTGGGGCTGACACCTAGCCTGGGAGACTTCATCTGTAGCTCACCAGCTCACCATTAAGGGCAGCAATTCAGATGTCCGTTGCACTAACTCACTGGTTTTTCATTTCTATACTACAGCTCTGATTCCTCATCTATTTTGTTTCTCCAGCGATTGAGCAGGGAATTGAGCAGGAAGAGGTGCAGAACCGATCCTCCGCTGACTTGAGAATCCGGAAAACACAGGTACTCTGTCTTGGATCTCTTCTCCTATAGCTACTTCTCCCCTTTGCATTGTTTTCTTCATTTTCCAATGTTCTTTTGTTTTTTCCCTAATTTTGCTTGTGCTAGTTTCTTAATTGGGATTTAGCAATAATGTATGCTCCTATTTTCCTTTTGAAACAACTTCCGAATTGGACAGAATTCTTTTTTTAAAAAAGATTGAAATGAGGCAGTGATTGCATAATAGAGGCAAAGGAGGTATCGTATAAAAGCAGGGATATCCAACCTTAGCAATGATTAAGATCTGTGGACTTCAACTCCCAGAATTCCTCAGCTAGCCATACTAGCTGGGGAATTTTAAGAGTTAAAATCCAAAAGGATACCCCTACTATAAACCTAACCCCTTACAATGCTTAAATCAGGACCAAATGCAGAGCTAGCCCTGTCTCTTTCAGCTCTATGACTTTTGACATGCTGAGTGAAAGCGAGTGTGGTCCTCAAGACCACATAAGTTGGGTATCTCCTATGTTAGAAAGGACAAGGTCTATATTGCAGCTTTGACACTCCTTTGCCATCTCTTTTCCTTGTTTCACTCATGGACCTAATTATAGCTGCCACTCAATTAATAGCCAAAATTAATTCCTTAAGCTGAACTGAAAAGAGCTGGCTGAACTGAAAGGCAGAGTTAAATATGTCATTAGTTTGGAGTCGTTGCGTTGCTACAAGAGACCCAAATCCAGTTCCCCATGAATTCTGTTGATCTCTATCTAGCATCAATTTACCGTAGCTTTGACTGTTAGTTGACCAGATTCTTATATATAGATAGTGGTAATAAACACTTCTGTGGTTTGGACTCAACAAATTTGCCTGATTATTTGTCCCTGACAGATGACTTTTGTCAGTCAATCAAGCTTTATATATTTTTCCATCCGATTATTTTACTATTCTAAATTTCCTTGATTTTGAAAAATGTCCCCAGGGCATATTCTTCAAAGGTGCACTGTGCTTTCTTCTGTTCCACACTTAAGAGAATGTCTTATCTAAAACAACAGCTGCCTATAAAAAAGAATGACAATATTTTGGTTTTGTTTTTTTTTAGCAACACACATGCGAATCCCAAGTTACGATGCAGTTATCATCTGCATTTTTAATAATTAAAAACTGCAGTCAGGTTATTAAGATCCTCAGCAACAACACTCCTAATCAGCCGTTCTAGCCAATCTCTTTATGTCAGGGAATTGCACAGTGGCGTCCAAATGAAGTCAGAGACGCTGACACGAACTTGTAGTTTTATATAAATAAATACATTTGACATCTGTATTTATAGCAGACAAGGTAGTCAGGCACACACTAAGATCATGAGGTAAATTGTCAGGTAAACCACAGAACAGCATACAGAGTACACAGAAGAGAAAAGGCGGGAAAAAAGGGAAACCCTCTTCTCACCCAGCAACCAATCATAGTGCGGATTGCCTCATACAGGAATCCGCACTCTCCAACCAATGAACTACAACTGTGTGTTCTGGCCCACTATACACTTTACAGTTCCAACTATTATGTTAAATATCTTAACACTTTAACACTGAAACTCTAATCCTACACATGTGGTCTCTTTCGCCCCCCCCTCCCCTTTTCTGGATATTTTTTTTTTCTAGGAGAAATCTTCTTCTCCCTTGAAACTACTAAAGCTATATGTGAGTTTTGTATTGGTTGTTTGGGTTGCTTTTGTAATCCCTTCCTTTGCTTAGCTAAGACCAATTTCTACGCTTTGGCCCTATCCCCTTTCTTCCCTTAAAACACTATAGGTGCAACATTAAGATTTTTTTTAATCTAAAAAAACCTGATCACATGGTTACTGATTTATATCTTAATCCTGCTTTGAAGTATAGAATTTCAGTCAAAAAGATACACAATGGAAACCCCAGTTCCCTTCCTTAGGTTTCAATGGAATCAAATCTTTCTTGAAACAAGATGAGAGAGAAGGATTTCTTCAACCTTTGGCAGGGTTCTCTCTCTCTCTCTCTCTCTCTCTCTCTCTCTCTCTCTCTCTCTCTCTCTCTCTCTCTCTCTCTCTCTCTCTCTCTCTCTCTCTCTCTCTCTCTCTCTCTCTCTCTCTCTCTCTCTCTCTCTCTCTCTCTCCCTCCCTCCCTCCCTCTCCCTCCCTCTCACCCTCTCTCCTATCTATCTATCATCCATCCATCCATCCATCCATCCATCTATCTATCTATCTATCTATCTATGCTTTGCCTCTGTAACCATCTCCTCATTTTCTTCCTTAGCACTCCACCCTATCTCGCAAGTTTGTGGAGGTGATGACAGAATATAACACAACTCAGTCTAAATATCGAGATCGATGCAAAGATCGTATCCAGAGACAGCTGGAGATAAGTATGTCTGTTTATCTTTCTAAGTGTTTGGCTAAAAAAAGGGTCCAAATGCAGTTCCTTTAAAAAAAACAAACGAACCCTTCATTTTGTCCCTATATAGTAAAATATTAAATGCATTCCCCCAGAAGAGATGGATCGTACAGGCTGGAAATGGTGGTGGTGGGGAACCTCTGTGACATTAGTTGTAAGAAAGATGAGAGCAGTACATAAATGTTTCTGTTTCTGACATGAATAAATAAACAAAGAAGCACGTAAATAAGTGCAGAGTGGAACTTATAGAAGAGAATATTTATAGCTCAGGGTTGAATTGTGGGGTTCTTGGTCTTTTGGTCTTTTGTGGGGTTCTTGGTCTTTTCTGAGCTCAGTTGTTTTCTTGCAGATGTTTCATTGCCCAACTAGGTAACATCATCAGTGCTAGTAAGTATATAAGTGAGTGAGCCCCTCTTTGAGGGAGATGGGCAGTTTAGAAACATGAAATATAAATGCATAAAAATAAACATAAACAGGAATAAAACTCTACACTGACTAGCATTAATGATGTTACCTAGTCAGGTAATGAAATGTCTGCAACCCTGTTTTGAAACCCGACAGATTAGGCTTCACCTAGAGCTCAGAAGGTATGCTCCTCCAAAGAAGGTGGATGGCATTTGAACATGCCTCCTTCCAAGTCTTGCAGTTGGCAGAGTCCTTAGTGAAGGGATCTAAAGTGAGCCCCTTGCGCATGGTGATCCAAATGAGATCTGGTTCCTATGCCAATGCATAGCAGCATAACCTTGTACTAGCCATTGATGGGAAACTCCCTTTGAGGAATGAGAATTTTAAACATCTACGGTCTAGAAACAAGAAGAATGAAAAAACAAATTCAGGCATTTCCTCCTTAACCAGATTGGGAGGCAAGGCAGTTTGGGAATTAGCCCAGAAGCAAGCTGGATCCTGTGTGACAGTGCTTTTACCCTACCGTGCAATTGTTCGTCATGACTCTGATTTTCCTTCTTGCAGCTGGCAGGACAACAACCAATGAAGAGTTAGAAGACATGCTAGAGAGTGGCAAATTGGCGATTTTCACTGACGACGTATGTATCTAGGGCCTCAGTTGGCTTCCTTGTTCTCTTGGGGTTAGCAGAACAGGTAGAACGCAGCTTGGGAAGCATGTGAAGTTGCTGAACATTTCAAAGATGGATCTCACGTGGTTGAAAGGTGGCTGCAATAGCAAGAATTTGTAGACACTATGAGAATAGCTCTGCTGGATCAAGGCCATTGTATCCCAGGATTTTGTTCCTCTGTCAGTCAACCACAGGTCTTTACAAGCAGATGATGGGAGACATATCCTCTCCCATCCTTTTCCTCCTGCAATTTGGAGCCATTGTGTCCCTAATCCAGGGCTAGTGTTAAATCACTAAAACCAACAACCCTTGACTGACCTTTTCTCCATGACCTTACCCAGTCTTTGAAAGCCTCCCAAATTTGTGACCTTCACCACATCTTGTGTACTGACTCCCACAGGCAAATTACATGCTGTGGAAGAAGTGCTTTCTCTTGTCAGTTCTGTCACTCATTATCCTTGGATGTTTGAGGAATGGAAAGAAATCTTTTCTTTGACCATGTTCTCCGTCTGATTTCGTGGTTGAAATCCAGTTGCCAGAATCCAAGGAAGTAAGGGAGATCTTTAGTGGGGGGGGGGGCAGGGGCAGGGAGAGACCAGGGCAGAAATATCTCACCATCTCCTTATCAGAACTCCTCCTCCTCCTCCTCCTCCTCCTCCTCCTCCTCCTCCTCCTCCTCCTCTTTCTCTCTCTCTCTTTAAAGCTGTAATTCCTACCTTCAATCATCTATAAGAGGCACCTCTTGTTCTGTACTGGTGTCCATGTTAGCTTTCATTGTTCCAAATTACTAACCAAAGGATGGGCAGAAAGAGAGGATAGTAGGCTGGAGCAGTTGTTGGATTGATGCTCACTGCTAGATTCTCTCCTGTCTTCTAATCATGTGTCTTCTAACCGTGTGGCTTTCTTCAGATCAAAATGGACTCACAGATGACGAAGCAGGCCCTGAACGAGATCGAAACCCGGCACAACGAGATCATCAAACTGGAAACCAGCATTCGGGAGCTCCATGACATGTTTGTGGACATGGCTATGTTGGTCGAGAGTCAGGTATGGAAGACAAAGGTAGAAAGAGCTGGATGGCCGTGTCAGGTTATCTTTCAAGATTGCCTGGACTATTCAGTTTGTTCAGGTGGAAAGCTGGGAAGAGAGGACACAATGAAAGATTAGCCCAAATAACTTCAGAAACACTCCAGGAATTCTTTGTTCAATATAGGTCTCCTAATGCGAGGCTATTCCTTTAAAATCCTGCACAATGTCGCAGCCAGGTATCTCCTGCATTGCACTGAGGTCTGTTTCTAAGGCTAATGCCCCTTCTTGGAAGCCAGGTGTTGACCAATGGCGAGTCAGTGTTTATCATTAGTGGGATCTACCAATGACTTTCGTTTGCCACCAGGCCAAAAGCCAAAACGATCATCTTTACAGAAGCAACAGGTGGAAACTAAGCAAGGAGAGAAGCAACCTAGAACTAAGGAGAAACTTCCTGACATTAGAACAATTAACCAGTGGAGCAACCTGCCTCCAGAAGCAGTGAATGCTCCAACACTGGAAGTTTTTAAGAAGAGACTGGAGAGCCATTTGTCCAAAATGGTATAGGGTTTCCTGCCTAAGCAGGGGGTTGGACTAAATGACCTCCAAGGTCCCTTCCATTATTATTATTATTAGAGCCAAGTTCTTTAAAGAGCTAAGTTCACTTAATATGAACTTAGGTTATGTTGAAGCTCTTTAGGTACTGTTCCTTAACAATCATTTTAACGCTTTTGAAATATTGTTCTTGCTGATGCAGATTCTTTCTTCTCCTGTGCTATTGTTTCATTTAATTGTACCTCTTTGTAATCTAATTCATACTCATATTTTTAATTGTATGTTTTTGGTAAGCTGTCCCAGGAATGTAGGATATATACAGGTACTCTCTGACTTATGACCACAATTGAACCCAAATTTTTGTTGCTAAGTAAGGCAGTTGTTAAGTGAGTTCTGTCTCGTTTTTCTGCCGCAGTTGTTTAGTGAATCACCGCAGTTGTTAAACAAACTATGCAATCTTCAAGCAGATCTGGCTTCCCCCATTGACTTTGATTGTCTAAAGCCAAAGGGAAGGTTACAAATGGTGATTATAAGACCCAGGGACAGTGCAGTGGTCATAAATATATGCCAGTTGCCAAGCACACTAATGCTGATCATATGACCACGGGGATGCTACAGGTGTAAGTGTGAAAAATGGTGTAAATCACTTTTTTCAATGCCATTGTAACTTCAAACAGTTGCTAAATAAATGGTTGTAAGTTGAGGACTGCCTGTATTTCATATCATGTGTGAGGGATTGATATACTGACCACTCTTCTGTGGTCACTTCTAAGGGGGGGGGCAGTTTGCAAAAATTGCTGATCCTTAGGTATCCAAAATTTTATCATCTTGCACAAGGGGTGTTATTAGCAGATTTGGAGACATCAGAAAGTTTGTAGAACTCTCCCCCCCAAACAAAACACACACATACACATACACACACACAGAGAGAGAGAACTTAGTGAGGAGCAAGCACTGTAGATGGATACAGAATAAGCTGCCTCTGGTAGGCTGTGCAGTGGGGAAACCAGGAGTGCCAGGGAACAGATTGGAAGATTTTGAAGAAAGTTGCAGAACGACATTCACTTGCAGATTCCTCACACACGTGATGAAACAGAGAATGAAAATGGAGTCACTGGGGACTGCAGTCATCCCTCCTCCTCCGCCGCCCCTGTCAGCCAAAACCAGTGCAGAAAAAAATTTACTGTGGGATTGTGGTTTGGAATCATAACCATCAACATCTCTTCGCTTCCCAGAATTCAACCCTTCCTGGAAGCAACGCTTTCTTTCTCTCACACACACTCACACATGCTGGAAAGCTCTGCCCTCAATTCTCTGATGAGGGGAGGTCTGCAACTAGTCAGCGCTGAGAAGGAAAAGAGAGAGGGAGGGAGGGATGGAGAGAGACAGAGAGAGGGAGGGAGGGAGGGAGGGAGAGAGGGAGAGAAAGGGAGGGAGAGAGAGAAACAGAGAGAGACAGAGGGAGAGAGAGAGAGAGAGGGAGAGAGAGATTCCAGCACAAATGCCTGTGTCCTTTGGGGCTCAAATATAACATGTACGAAGCAAAGCCACTAAACCAGCATAATGGATGAATACTATGAATTACAACGTCTATGGAGATTCTCAATCATCCAGGTCACGATTGTCCCAAAAGTGGCAGAACTGAAGAAGCTTCTTAGGATGAGAAGCGAAACGTTTTCAGAGAAAAAAACAAGAAAATCCAGTTGCCTTTTGGAAAAAGCACCTTTGGGACAACCCTGAACTACAAATTAACTCTGTAAACTACAGTGTATTACAAATTAAATTTATTTATTCAGTGAATAAGTAAGAATAAATAACACTCAGTCTACAGAAAGGATTGGCCTTCCATAGTTTCAGATTCCCAGCTGGTTGTCAAGCTGAGGATGATATGCCACTAGTCCTTGCCCTTAGTGTCCTTAAGATAATATTTTGTAGGCTATTCCTACACTTGTCGAGGATATTGAGTGTACAGCTGGTCCTACCTTGACTTTTGTTCTCCTTATTTCAGGGGGAGATGATTGACCGCATCGAGTACAATGTTGAGCACTCCGTGGATTATGTGGAAAGAGCCGTCTCTGACACCAAGAAAGCTGTAAAATACCAGAGCAAGGCTCGAAGGGTGAGTAAGTGGACCTGGCTATCATCAGAAGCATGGGATTTGGGGATTTTGGTAGCCGGAAAGGGAACGATACTTTCACCTATTTACGAAGGTGTGATCTGAAGATAAGACAGGCAGGAGGGCTAAAAGTTAAGGAAAGAACAGGAGATCAAAGAAGGACAAGGAAATGGGGGAAAAAAAGGAATAATATGAAAAGCAAAGAGGCTTATGTGGTTATCCATTGGACCTAGGTGTGGAACACATACAGGGAGAAACACTCACTTTTTATGTTTTGGGACTGAATTGCAGACCACTAGATCAGGGACCCCCCAATACCTGGTCCATGGACCGGTACTGGGCCGCAGCATGCCAGCAACTGGTCCACACAAACAAGCAAAGCCCCATCCATGGGATGCAGGCAGCTCACAAAACCACACACTCTCCGGTCCGTGGAAAAACCTTTCTCCACAGAACTGGTCCCTGGTGCTCACAAGGCTGGGGACCTCTGCACTAGATCACTAAGCAAAGCAAGGCGAGGAGAAGGAGAATGGGTTGGTATGTTGTTTGCTTACTGAGCCATTTTTAAATCAAAATTAAATAAAAAAAATTGTAGTTGATAAAATACAAGGCAGGAATCTGCTCCAATGAAAGTGTTTTTTCCCCTATGGTTTACTTTTATGTGCCAACCCGTAGGTTTTAAATGGTGAATCTGTCATAGTAGCATGATGGAACACCTTTTGGAGGTCAAGCTTCATAGATTTTATCCAATGCATTACTAATACTTCTTTGTCTTTTTTCTCTTTTGTCTCTCTCTCTCTGTCCCTCCCTGTCCCTCTCTCTCTCTCTCTCTCCTTCTGTTCTCTTTCTCTATCTTGCTCCGTGGATTTTCTTGGGTAATGTAGAAGAAAATAATGATTATAATTTGTTGTGTGGTTCTTGGTATAGTACTGGCCTCCTCCATTGGGGGCACTCTTGGGTTGTAAATTAAAGCAAAAAAATATTAATAATAATATAATAATAATTTAAAAATTGTACATGCAGTGGATATAACAGCACATGTTCCAGCTACCTATAGATAAAAACAACTTTATTGGGTCAGCAAATCTAAGTTTGTTGTTCGGCATCCATCTCTTCATCCATTTTTACTCATTTGCTGGGCACCAGGCTACCACCCAGAATATTCAGGTATTCTGGGCCTCATCCGGGGGCCTTGTTGTCACACTGTCCTTCCCACAGCACCATGGTCCCAACCGTGTGATTCTTGCCTGCTCCACAGACTTTTCTCCCCTTTCATTCATCTCAGCGGTGAACCCCCTGGGAAGGAATGGCTCATGGCCTTCTTTTCCTACATGGCACGGGAGAGAGCATAGCCATGAACCCAGCATTCATCTTTGTCAGGCCATCATTTACAATACACAGAGGTAGGAGAAAATGTGAAATACTTTAGTACTCACGCTTGGTATATCAAGAACTAGCTTAAGGCCACAATCTAGTACATTCCCCCCCCCCCCCCGTCATTTAATGTCACACAGCAGTAGCCAGTTGCTCAGATCACCAGTCCTTGCTGAAGGAAAAGAAACGTTTATACATACCATCAACCAATGCTGATCTTTCTCTTTCCATAAATGAAATGGGAATAGCCATGTGCTGTCGGTCCTTAGGGCAACATAGCACATGATTTCCAGGAAGAGGTGTTTTTTAAAAAAAAAAAATCAGATTTTTCAGAAATGTGAAAATTTTCATTCTTAGGTACCTGGAAAAAAAATTAAGTCAGTTCTCAGGGCACAATCTACTCACCTGCTGCACCTTCCTTCATATGCAGACCTTGCAACCCTGGTATAACCAGCCTCATTGCCTTCCCTTGGCAGAAATCTGCATTAGCTCCAGGGCTAGCTAAGCCTGATGACACACTGAAGGGACCAACTCAATTCCTCAGCTATCAAGGGACGCCAGCATCCTTGAGAACTCTTGGGACTCAATTTCCCAGGCGCTCTCAGTGATGGCTCCTGTGATACACAAGGTGGGATGCAACTCTGGGAGACAGTGGGTACACCAACACAGTTCCGTTTTCCAAAAGAGCGTGCTTGAGCACCATTTGCAAGATTTAGCAAATAGATGACTACGGTGTTCATCTCGACGTGACACTGTTAAGCAATACTACAACCATCTGGTTTATTGTGACTGAAGGAATGGAAATTTCAGCAGTTCGTCACCAAGTCCTCTCAGGATAGCAAGAGCATGATTTCCAATCTTATCCAGAACTCTAGAGACTCATGTATTTAAAAATTAAGAAATAGTGATCATGGCATCCAGTCAAACCATGTACATACTGGTATAAAATTCTGAATTTCTGCTAGTTCAGAATAATTTTGCAAGGCTGCATTGTCCTCATTGCAGCTTTTGCACCTAGGGGCCAAGGAATAATTTGTTTCACTGGCTATCCAACAATTGTAAGAAATTAAACAGAAATTAAATCCAAATACAGCCTTCAATATAGATCCAAACCAGATGTGATGTCACTCACTTAGGTTGACCTGGTATGCATGTTTTTTTTTTTTTACACCAATAGAAGGCTGGGGTGAACTAGGTTAGATTAGGACTGGGAGGAGGGTGGGGTGGAATTGACATTTAGAGTATTTGATATTGTTAGACTGCCAGAAGGAATTATGACCTGGGCTCCATTTAGGAGGAAAGGACTTTCCATTTCAAAAGCCAAGTGTGAGGATTCTTATGAAGGTTGGATGTCTTCTGCCCTCTTGAATAGACCCAGTTCAGTTCACACTACCCTCTCTGCCTTTAATCTTTTTTAAAAAACCTGTATATACCAGGGTCAACCATACAACTAACTTCAGATCCAGTTTGGTTTCTTGAGGACCAAAAGAAGTAGCTCCGGGCTATGATACATCTTCAGAAATATGACGCACAGGAATGACTTATAACTTTATGTTTTGGATTTTTCTAAAAAAAAATTTTTTAAAAAAAAAAACTTCTTCGCACATCAAGAAGTATTAGCCTTCAGCTAATTTTCTCCTAGTTGGAGCAATTCATTCTCTAGAGGCCCCACGTCGTGTGGTATTTTTGAGGCTACCATTAATTCCAGAGTAACTGAGAAATAGCTCAGGCCTCTTGGGATTCTGATGCCAGAAATCAATGAACAGTTTAGGAAAACTATTTGTTTTCTGATAACTCACTAAACTTGACAGTGTATGATTGCTATGTGTTCTTTTGTAAACCGAGAGAGGAAGGAAAGCCTGCAGCCTCTGTTGCTTTCACAGCAAAATATGATGGCCACTAATGTAGAGAAGTGATCCATTGATTCCACCCCTTGTAAATAGATCCCAGTGAATCATCTAGAAGGTGCTGCTTCATACATTATGACAACTACTTGGCACCATTAGGAACCATTCCTGATAGCCTGGGTGCTGGTAAGACGCCATTTTTCTTTTATTTTTACTGTGTGTGTCTCTTCCTCTCTCTCTCTCTCTCTCTCTCTGTGTGTGTATGTGTGTGTGCGCGCGTGCCTTGACAGACTTTACATCCAGCCTAATGAGGTAAATGTTCACATTTCCACTTTCCAAGATAGAAAAGAAAGAATGCATATTTGAATCAGGCAGAGGAAGGAAGGAAAGAAGGAAGGGAGGGGGGGAGGGAAGGAAGGAGGAAAGAAGAAAGAAAAAGGAAGGGAAGGAAGGAAAAAGAAAGAGAAAGAGAGGAAAGAAAGAAAGAAAGAAAGAAAGAAAGAAAGAAAGAAAGAAAGATAGAAAGAAAGAAAGAAAGAAAGAAAGGAAATATGTTCTCTTCAAGATGGTTAGCATGTTGGGGGGGAAACCTTGGCCTGCCTCCCACCCCGCCACTCCCGATATGCTAGTCTCCTGTGGAATTTTTGTTTTTCATCCCACTCTCTCCCACCTCCTTCTCAATTTGGTACAGTCCATGAAGTGTTTTGCCCCTTAAATCAACTAAATGCCAAAGTTGGCTCTTAATTCCAAATACATGTGCTTATCCACACAGGTTTAAAATCTGTTGTGCCTATTTCTCCACCCATCCCCGCCCATGTAGTCTTCCCTCCATGTTCCTTTTTCATGGATGGAGCAACATTAGCTCCACAGAGCAGCTCTTCTATGCAAGCAACCTGGTAGGGCAGTCTTCTCCTGACCTGAGGCCACCAATTTGGGAGTGGACTGTGCCACGGGATTTTGCTGCCTGTGGAAAATGTGAACCCTTGCTTGACCTTTCCTTCATGAAAACAAGAACAGTTCTGACTTCCGGCTAGGAAAAGGGGATCTTGGACCATCTTCAGGTCTTCTTGTGCTCTTACAAAATGTAGCTGATGTAGGAATAGACCCAACGCCCATCCACATCTGATTGCAAGTCCACATGCACCTCAAATCCATATGCACCTCAAAGCACCCTGCACAATACAAACATATACATTAACTCAATGTATTAGTCAACTATTGCTAGCTATGCTATGGCATTGGGCCTCACCCCAAACAAAAAACAGAGTCAGGTATGTTTATCCAAAGGAACCTCTGTGCTTTAACACAGGGCCCCATGCGAAACCTCACTCTATTACTAGAACAGGGGTCTCCAAACTGGGCAACTTTAAGACTTGTGGACTTCAACTCCCAGAAGTCCCCAGCCAGTATGGCTGGCTGAGGAATTTTGGGAGTTGAAGTCCACAAGTCTTAAAGTTGCTAAGTTTGGAGACCCTGTACCAGAGTAGCCTAAGGTGGCCCTCCCCAACCGGGTGCTCTTCAAACACTTTGGACTTTAATTCCTACAATATTCAAGATTGGACTACGCTGCATGGGGTTGAGAGATGCTGAAGTTCAATATGCTTGAAGGCATCAGGTTTGAGTTAGGCTGTATAGAGTGAATGTACTATGAAAGAAGGAAACAATCAAAGCAAACGTAACTGATCCTTGGTAAGTAATCTGCAGTGGTAGGAAATGAAGCCCCTTCCCACTGGCCAAAGGCATTACTGCAGTCATTTATTGTGCCCCTTTGTGACATTTAGTGAAAAGAGATATTTGTCATTCCAAGATGACACAAGGTGTGATGCAAATCTGCCAGCAACCTTAACACCTGTATAACTATGCACTTATTTCATAGAGCATGCTTATTCCTCTCTTTATAAATGTCAAGAGTCATTCTTAAATTGTTTAGCGATGACTTAAACACCGGTCATTTCCAGACTGAAATGTAAGGCGTGTCTGTATTTTAATGCAATATGTTCAGTCGCCACCAGCTATTGTTTAATATAAGCAGTGGATATGTTAAGGAATTGTCATTTTGAAATTTCTGTGTAACAACAAAACAATCATGCTAGCACAATCATAGCAACTTGGAGATGTGTTTGTACAGAATACTCCATTTTTAAAAAAGCTTGTAGAGCAATTCCAGTGCATGCTGTTTTCCTACTTTTGTAAAATTTTCTTGGAGAATAGCTAAGCATGAGGAAGACCCAGAGGACTATTTGTCCAGCGTGAATTACTGTTCTGGACAAGTCTTCTTGGTGGTTAGTTAACTCTACAGAGTTTCAGTATTGGCAGTCTAAATAAACTCAGTGCAGAGATGAGGTTGAAATTATTTATTTTTAGTATAAGGTTATTTGGGCAGAGAAAAGCTGAGGCTATTAAAACACACAGAGTTCCCATGGACAACTACTTTGAAGCTCAGTAACAGTGCCCACTAATTACGTTAAGTCATTTCTAACAGCACATTAAGATGTTCCTAGTTCAGAAAGTGGTCTTTTTGAGGAATTCCTCAACAATAATCAAAAACATAACCCAGCTAAGTCAAAAGAGAGCCCGTCTTCATCAGATGTCTTTCGTTTTGCATAGTCTCGTGCTTGGCGAAGCTTGTGCTGTTTCATGAGGCAGTTGACCCTTAAATTGACACACACAGCTCAAGATAAGGTGGTTCCCTTATCTTTTTTTTTTGACCAGTTCACTCAAGACACTGAATTTCCTATAAAGAATGACTGGGCATTCCTGTCTAATAGATACCCCCCAAACATTTCCTTCTAGTTTTAGGACCTCTAGCTACACAGAGGACTGATGCTGCTGGCCCCCAAAACTTTAGCTGTGGATGAATCAGCATTCCATTCGTTAGTATGAAAACCAAAAAAAGTGAAAAATTAAGGTCTCGGAGTCCAAAATCAGAACTGGTGAGGAGCTAGCAAGGAAGACCTGTAGAAAATCTTCTTGAGTATGGAAGGTCACCTTTAGCAAGCTGTGGTTCCAGACTAGTTAGAGAGCAGAATGAAGTCTTAGAGCAGGGGTTTGCAAACCTGGTGACTTTAAGACCTGTGGACTTCAACACCCAGAATTCCCCAGCCAGCTGAAGTAGCTGAAGTCCACAAGTCTTAAAGCCGCCAGGTTTGGAGATCCCTGTCTTAGCGGGACATTGGCCAGCTATTCCATAGAAATTCTTCTTCAATTCTATTATGATTGAACTTTGTACTTCCCATCCTAAAATTCCTCCTTGAAATGTGGCC